ATTATTTATTAGTTTATTATTATTGTTATTATTATTATTATTATTATTATTATTATTATTATTATTATTATTACTATTATTATTATTATTATTATTACTATTATTATTATTATTATTACTATTATTGTTATTATTACTATTATTATTGTTATTATTATTATTATTGTCGTTATTATTGTTATTATTATTATTATTATTATTAATTATTATTATTGTTATTATTGTCATTATTATTATTACTATTACTATTATTATTATTGTTATTGTTGTTATTATTATCATCATTATTATTATTACTATTATTTATTGTTATTGTCAATCATTATTAACTATTATTATCATTGTTATTATTATTATTATTAATTATTATTACTATTATTATTCACGATTACTAATGGTAGTAATAGTTATTATCAATAATATATCATTAACCATGCACTATAACAATTAAAAGTTTCACCAAGAAGAAAAACAAGGAAGAGAAGAATGGTTAAAAGGATGATCAAAATAAGAATGACTTTGGAAGATTTTTTTGTACTTTTACATTTTTTTTTTTTTTCCGCATGTATATAAACCATTGACTTTTTTTTTTCCCATACAACAGAAGGATGAGAAGGAAAAAGAGAGAGAAAATATTTAGAATGATGATGATAATGACATGTTAACATCCATTTCGTTTTTTATTTTTTTTTTTTGCCGATGATCAATTTTTATCAAAAAAGTATTTAGGTGTCATGTTTTCGATGATTGACAATAATGAAAAAAAAAAAAAAACAGTTTGCCGATTTTTTTCTATCAGTTTTATTTTCCCAACATTATCAGTTTTTTTTTTCGGTATTATAATAAATATGTAATAGTGATTAAGATTAAAGCAGTTATCAGTCTTGTAATAGTAGGTTGATGATTTGAATAAAATTGTTTGAATTTAATTTTGTTGTAACTTTTTCGTTTTAACTCTTATAAATTAAGGTGTGTGATAACTATTGGTAACTTTGTTTTTGATAATTTTATTGATGCATAAGAATTATATAGTTTATTGAATTTTTTTTGATTGATATATCAGATAATTAAAAGAGGCATTGGATAATTGGTATTAATTTATTTCACAAATATTTCCACTTCTTATATTGTATGTAAATAATTGATTATTTAAAATTGACAAAGAAATAAATTAGCTATTCAATCAATTGAAATTCGTTCTGAATTAATAGATGATAAAAAGTGAATGTTTATAGGTTGTAAAATGTTTTGCATAAAATTTTAAATTAATTGATACATGTTATTATTTGTGATTCAAATTTTTGCAATTAATAATTCCTGTTATAATTTAACTGATAATTGTAGATGTCAATATGCTCATGGTGAAGAAGAAAGAAGGCCAGTATCTAGGCATCCCAAATATAAAACGGAATACTGTCAACCTTTTCATCAAGTTGGCTATTGCCCATATGGACCAAGATGTAATTTCATTCATAACGAAGAGCAGCCACAACTTTCATTGCAAACTCGTCGTAACCAAATTAATTGGTAAGTTAAATTTTAACATTTTACCTAAATCCATAAAGTTTATCAAATGATATAAGTGTATGCAAGCTTTTGTAAAATTAAGTTGTATTTCAAGTGGTAAATAATTTTGAGAAATTTTGCGGTTAATTATATAAATAATTAAATAAATGGAAAGTAATAAGTAAACAAAGATTTGAATTAATCTTTCTACCTGTTTACATGAAAATAAGCAAAATTATAAGCGATCATTAAAAAAAAAAAAAATGAATGAAATGTTATCAAATTAGATTTGCAATCAATTAAAATTCCCCTTGAATTATTTTTGACATATTTTACTAATTGTTCCTTTTTCTTTTCCTGATGAATTTTATCATTTTGCTTAATTATAATTACAAAATTGGTTTGAAAAAATTATAAATAAAAAAATGAAAATTTATTTGAGAAAATTATCTTTTTTCAGTAATGGAAACAATAAAATAAATGGTAATAGCAGTAACAGTGATAGTAATAATGGTACAACAAAAACAACAGCAATAGCAGCAGCAACAACAACAACAACTACTACTACAATAATAACAACAGCTACAACAATAACAACAACAACAACAACAGCAACTACAACAACATTAACATGTGGTATTTGGCAACCATATTGTAATTCAACAGGCGATTCTCCAGCACCAAGTTCTGCTGGTTCCAGTACTGATAGTTCGATTGGTTCTGCTAGTCCAAGTTTAGATTTTGATGAAAATACTGGCTCTATTGTTATAACCAATGGTTGGAACAGTTTTGGTACAAAATTCAACAATAATGCAAGTTTTATGCTTCATTTAGCATTTTAATTTATTTAACCTTTCTTATGTAATTTTTAATCCTTTTCTTTTTTTTTTTTTGTAAATTAACAATTGATAGATAATGATACAATTCTGGCTTAAATATTCGATTAAATAAGCTTAACATCTTAGGCTATATCTTTCAATAAAAACATAATTAGTAAACAATGTTTATTAGTAGAATTATAATTGTG